TCAAGGAAACTTGGTATCCTTAGCTTTAAGGAGAAGACTATGAAAAGATAGGAAAAATCTCTTCAGATACCTGAAAGGTTGTCATACAAAAGGCCAAGATTTATTGCGTTAAAAACCTTTAAAACAGCATAATATTCTCAGCTATCAAAAGACTAATTTCAACTGAACATGAAAGCAAGGACAGCTTCTTTGTAGTAATGAGTAGCTGAAAAGTAGAACTAATTACCAAGGGAAGTGATTGGAGGCAGTCAGACACAAGCTGGACAATCATCAGTCGGAGATGTTTCAATCTCCATTAGATCAGGCAGAGCAGTCATGCTGCAGGTATCATCAGCTAAAGATCTTACATTTTGTGGCTTCCAGGAGAAATGCCTTCTCTGCCCTGAAGCACACCTTATAGAACATTCTTCCCCACCCCCCACCATCCTGAAATTAGATCTCCTTTTGATACAGATAGTCTTCAACTTATGACTGCAGTTAGGATTGGATTTTTGGTTATAAGTCGCTATAGTTGTAATTTGAAGCACCCACATTTCTGGACTCCAATTTTATGCTATACTTTGTAAGTCATTAAGCAATTCACCATGGTGGTTAAGCCAATCCAGAGTCATTAAGCAAACATAGGTAAGTGCAAACCCATTCTTCCAAATGGATGCTTTTTGCCAGAAATCACCAAAAAATGCCAGAAACCGCAAATCATATGATCACAGGATGCTGCAACCAGTCAAAGGGAGGCCAGTTGCCAAATGCCCCAAATATAGAAACATGACAATGGGAGGTGGGGGGTGATATTTTATCGTGGTCAGGAGTGATTAATAAGAAATAAAGCATTTGTTCTGGGCCCATGGCAATTTCAAAAGATGTTTCCAGGCAAAAGGAGACTTCTTTAGATGGCTCTATTAATGAGGTGGCAATCCTCCCTTTGCTTATGATTTGGTTGTTATATGGATTTTTATGTTTTATACCTGTTGCTTTTATCTAATTGTTGTGGAATACCAGGAATTGTTTTTGGTGAGATGGGCAGCTATATAAATTTGATTAATAAATAAAGAGCTGGTTTACCCTATTAAGCAAATTTGGAATCAGTGACCTAAATGGTTGCTTCTAATTCTATAATAGACCTGAGGCACTGCTCATCAACAGTGAATTTTTCTGAAGCAAGTCAGTCCTAACTTCAATCTAGGGGAAAAGATTGTACATCTGCTCAAAACAGATGTGTATTTTTCCAGAATGTGGTCCCAACTAACATGATATATGAACTTGATGCGTCATCAGATTTTGTGAAGAGACCTACTTAGTTTGAAAATAGGCAATATGACATTTGGATCACAGAGCAAATCTTATCTGAACAGGGGGAAAAAGGAGGGGAACTTTTTTTCTAAGGCAACTTTACAAACATTAGAATTTTCAGGTAGGTACAAAACAATATGTGATCCACTGGGTCATTGTTACAGAGACAATGGCAGAGCTTCTAATATACTGGAAAATTTGTTCAAAATTCAGGGAATTATTCAGAAATATGCCTGCACAGTCAAATATCAGGAGCTGATTACAGGAAATGTTTTCCAACTGTCTTGTGTGTGCTAGGATAATTTATGTCATAAAGTATTTTTTAAAATTTGCCATATTTCAATTCCATGGGAGTCACGGGACCTGGATTTTTAATTCTGTAAGTTAACCATTTGAGGTACCTCAGTTTAAAAGTTCTGCCTTTTTTGCCCAGCTAAAGGTTATAGACATAGAGCTTTAGTAATATACTAGACAACCAGGTCTTCAGATATTTGCTTACTAGATTCATCAATGCCTTCAACAATGGCAGAACTTCTAAGCACTGGAAAGTTCTTTAAAATTCAGGGAGATACTCAGAAATGTATCTGCCTTGAACACAGCCCATGTTGAACTATATAGTACAATCAAACATCAGCAGCTTACCATAGGAAATGCTTTATGACATTTTGTATTAGCAGTATATAGATAGATATGCTTTAATATACTTAAAGCTACTATTCCTTAAGAGGGTGGTCTTTTTTAGTGCTAAAATCATTTGATGTCAGAATCAAAAAATACCACTAAATTCTAGAGGTATTTATCAATGATTGATGACATCATAACTGAATATTTACAAGAAAAGCAGGGAAAGGGCAAGAGAGACAAAGAAAATATTTAGATAGGAGACTAAAATGAGATACAGGAGAGCAGATGATGGACTTTTCAAAAAAAATGAAAAATATGACCAAAACAAACAGCAATGAATTGACCAATCCCTTACAGGAAGATACAGAATAATTAATAAGACATACATGGCAAAATTATACAAAGTCACTGAATGTGATTCTGTTATGTGTATTAGGGCAGAGTTCTCCAACTTTTCCAGATTGGCGGGCCAGAGCGGGTGGGCGGGGAGAGGGGAAAGGGGATGATTTTGTAAGGAGGCAAGTGTGTGTACATGCAAGTGCCCACATTCCTGGCGACTTTCACACAAGTGGGGCCATGAGCACCCGTGCTGACGCTCATGCGAGTGCAACTGTATGCTCGAACGGAGGCGCACACACCAGCCTGCCACTCATGTGGTCAAGTAGTGGGCTGTGGCCCACAGACTGGGGACCCCTGTGTTAGGATATGAAACAATAAGACGGTATTTGTAAATGAACGCAATTCAAAATCAAATGTGCAGTGAGATTACACTGTTAGAAACACCTGCAGATATCTATTCTCTTACAACAAAAATCAAATAATAGAAACTAAAGAGAGTTCACATGTATAAGGCTACCTGTGAAGTTGAATTAAATTACAGAGCTACATAAAATTGAAGGTGCCTGTTTGCTTAAAATTACCTATCCTTTTATTCAACTTGAATAGAATAGAACAGAGTTTCAAACTAGGTCATCTGATCTTAGCATGATGAGTAGAAATCAGGCAGGGAAGTAGTAATTATTTCTTTTACTTCAATTTCATTTTTAAAAATTCACAGCTAGAGGGCAATAAAGTCAGCATATTATGCAATCTATAATTAAACAACTTCTGCACCCTTATTCATATAAAGACAAAAGGAAAGCAATAATTTCTAATATCAGAAATTCACACATTAGGAAGAAATGAATATCCCTCTTTAAAAATGTCCCTTTTAAAACTCTAATCAGAAGCACAATGGATGCAAAACGGAAGTGCACTTTTTCTAAGATGCTTTTCCGTCCAAAAATTGTTAGTCTATATACAATATCTTGTTATGTTGAATCTATTGGAGTTCCAGGCACAATGTTTTCAAGTCTTCTCAAACAGAATTATGTTCAGATTACTATAACTACAACTCTTCAGCAAAATATCCTCTCCTTACATCAATATGAAAAATCCAAGAATTTGTTACATTTTTGTACTGTTAATCTCCTTATACAATGACACTCAGCAGTTTATAAATGTAAAGATAAAGGCAGAACTACAGCACACATATCTGTTACCATCATGACTAACTAAAAAGACAGTGAAAACTTACAATTTCAGAAGCCAACTTCAATTGAAAGTCCAATAATAAGCATTACGAAAAGTACTTAAATCAATATTCAATAAGGGATGCACCACATAGTTTCAATACTGCTGTACATTTTAATTTCTGCTCCAGGCATCAGTGCCTACTGTGTAAGCCTCTCAGCAAAGTAGTTGATTTTCATGCATACAAATTGTTTATGCTCAGCAATCCTTAATGAATAGGAATATCATTCTACAAAAAAAGAGAAAGAAAAAATACCTGGCTTCCATGAAGGGAAGATTTTCTCTATCTGAATCTCCCTCAATCTGGTTTAACAGTTTTTAAATCACTTGTGCTTATGTTTCTCCCATAATGTTCCAATGTTCCAAAAGAGTGAAAACATTACACAGCTACTTTCTGTAAGCCATATCTAGCCACTGTAGCATGTGGACAAATTGGGACAAACTCCAAAATAAAAGCAATATGCAAGATTAGCATTTGTCCTCTTTTGTGAACTAACATTGTCTAGACTTGTTACTTGCAGCTTTGGTTATGTAATAACCAAAGCCACAAATGGATTTTAGCATTCTCTAATTTTTCATCACTGCAATCCAGCAAGTTTTACTACTGTTAATCAACGTTCTTTTAGGCCTCTCCCTTAAATAGGATTTAGGAAAGTAAATCCTTGCAAAATATACCATTAAACTAGTGTATAATGCTAATCTTACCAGAGTTAAAAAAAGGTGTCATCCGCCTTCTGTCTAATTTCAAATTTTTGATTTCAACTATTAAAATTAATTATTCCTAGTCCAAATGCATTTTTGAGGGATAGTTTTATTAGTTGAGATCTATGGCTGGAGGAGAATCTATGCACCTCATTTTAATATCATTGTAGCTAACAAGAGTCTGACATTCAGAGCCTCTTGGTTATGCAAAACAGGCATAAAATGAGCATCCCGCCACCAGGAATAGGTAATGGGGGGGAAATACGCAGTCACACAAAAGTTCGCGAGCACTTTCTCCTTCCCCCCCCCCCCCCCCCCCCAAAAAAAATAAATCCTCAAAGGCAAAGGAGGAACGAGGGTGGCCGCATTTTATGCGAGAGCTGACAGGAAAGCAGAGAGCCGCAGCCGAAACAGGTAAACAGAAAAAGGAAGAGGATACACTCGATGAGGATGTTTACAGCCCCCGCTTCGCCAAGGAAAGCGGAGCTGCACACAGGGGGCTTTGGAGCAGAACCGACTTAAGATGAGAACGACGTTTGATTGCGGCGCCGCCGCCATTTTTCCCTCCCGCAGCTCCACCAGCTGAGCTGTATATACTTTTTTCTGGCGGGCGACGGCTCCGAGTAGCTTTTGTTTCGAGTTCAACACAAAAAGCATTCCACCCCCTCCCCTCAGCGTTTCGGCAGCAGAGGTGCTGCTGCAAGGGCTTTTAAAAGGGGCGAGTAACGGACATTTGGCCGCGCTCGCGCTAAACTGCACAAAAACCGGGGGGTGGGGGTGGGAGTAGCGCGCGCTCGCACTCCCCGCTTTACCTTGCGGAGATAACTGGCCACCACCTGCTCGAAAGGATATTTATAAACTCTCTGGGCCTCCACGGTCACCCCCATGTTGGGCACGGAGCAGCCGCGGCCCCTTCCTGCAAACTCGGGCGGCGTTTTGGTAGACCGGACGGTCGCCCGGCTAGGCCCCTTCCCTCCTCCAGGCGCCAGCCCTCGCCGCTGAACTACGTAAAACTTTTATGACGGGCGGCGGCGGCGGCGACATCGCTTGCAGAACGACAACTCCGTCCTATAGGTCACAATGTAAACCCAGGGCCAAACCGCGGAGAGGAAAGGGGAGAGTGGTAGGTCGCTCGCCAAGGGAGGACGGAACGCCCTTTTCCAAAAGCGGCGCCTTCTCTCGGGCGTCCCGAACGTTTCTCGGAATTTGCCGCCCGCGATCTCAAAAAGGGGTCAGCGCGGATTATAATTCGGCGCTAAACTGCGCTCTCGACTCCCTTGTTTTTGGTTAAACGTAGAAATGCTGCCTTTAGAGGAAGACGACTGACGTACGCTCTAACTCGGAAAAACCCGCTCAAAATCCAATTAGGCTTTTCCCACGTGCCTCTCGCCACACCTCCTGCCTCCCCTCACCCCCGCATGCGGGTCAAAGTTTGCGCCGTCTACTTCGGAGTTCTCAAATGAAAGAGGCGATTCCCTCCGGGTTATCCCCTCGGTTACTAAATCACTAAAAAGGAAGTGGGTCGTTGCAGATATAAGCACTAGCATCCTCGTGGGGAAACCTTCCCACAGAGCCATGAATTCGGAGCGACTCGGGATCGACCCGCGTTCGAAGGCGATTTGGAGCTTAAGAAGGCGCTCGAGGTACGCCTGCCGGCAACTCCATAAAGAAGCACTCCGTCGAGTCGCCCGGATCCTGCTGCTCGATTTCCCAAAGCGGGGATATTTTACGGACGTTGCCGGCAGATGCTATGTGGGTGGCGACGGCACAGGCTCCGAATAATATTTTCTGCGTCGAATCCGGATGAAGTAATTTCAGATGATCGGCTCAACCTTAACGGGAAGATTTATTTTTAGCTGCGAATAAGTATTTTGTGATAGAAAATTACGCGCTGTTTTTTGTTTGTTTGTTTGTTTTAAAGAATGATTTTAAGCAACAGGAGAGCCTGGCAGATCGGAGTGTCTAATTAAAAAAAAAATCCTGGTGTCAAATTAGCCCAATAATTGATGTTAGACCATTTTCTTCTTGCTCCTATCGCCCGCCACTCCCTGGGTGGTTATTTGCTTCCACTCAAATGTTGAAGTTCAGTTTGCCGGTACCAGCAGGGAAGCCCTTGTTTGAAATGAAATGTATATGAAATAAAAATGCTTACTTATAGATTATAATACAAGCGGCACAGCATGCAGCCTTCTGGTAGTTGTGCTACTTGAATGTTGGAAGCAAACCACAAAGAGAAAAAATGCAATTTTTCTTTTCTGATGGGAATTGTGCATAAACTGATCCAAACCAGATATACCCCAAATCCCATTAATACCATTCTAACTCAACTCATTTGGCGACCACAAAATAATAGCAAAGACAATCTACAAATCTTAATAGATCATCACACAAATACAACACTGAAATACTTAACACTGCTATTCTGAAGTAAATATGATTGAGGCTGCAAAGTTTTGCTGACAGAAAAGTGGACAGAAAATTGACATCAAAGGGGAGGAGGGGTTGCAGTGAAGAACAGTTGCCTACAATGAGAGATCCCAGCAGTAATATTAGGACAATTACCACAAGGATCCACAATCTCAGGACAACCTCTGAGAAGGTCTGTTTCCACATTTCTGCCCATCTTGTAAATGGAGTCACTGGATATTGACTTGTAAATGCAGTAGATTATTAGGTGATGCTTTCAGACATCAATCCATTTGACAGATTATTCTGGAGAAATTAGAGTATGTAAACAACTTAGAAAAACAGAACTACAAATATTGCACTGCAAAAGTCTTAACAACCACTAGGTGGCACAAAAGAGTTATTTTTCCCTGTATGTTTCCTGCCACCTAGTGGTTTTCCATCCCACTTGTGGCAGTCCTAAACAATGGGATTAGAAAGCTAGGCACTAAAAAGTCAACATATGTGCTTTGTGTCTGTTGCTAACTCAGAGTAGTGTCTGTATTAGGAGGCACTGAACTCAGCTGTGGAATTAATAAAGCTAGTAGAGAAAAAAATAATTTTGCACTGCCCCAAACCTTTCTGGCAGTTCTAGCAATCCATATCTAACTGCATGGATAAATATGTATTGACTTCAAAGCACCACAACCATTACTATTCACTCCTATTTTATTTATAATATTTTTGTACTGGTCTTTTTATTTAGCAAAAGCTATCCCTGGGCAATTTGTAAGCTAAAGTCTTGTTGCTCAAAACTTTAAAAAAAACACCAATAGAAAATATTAATAGTAGTGAAAATTAATTTAGTTAAAAGAAAAATGGAGAACAGTCAGTTACACACACATTAAAAAAGAGTCAAAGAGAGAAAGTCACACTTTCATCCCATGGTAAGTCATTGCTCAAGGAACAGATCATCTCAAGAAAATCTTGTGTCACTTGTGCTCATCAACATCATTGATCTTATTGGAGGGCATGTAAGCAGAGCTGATTTTAGAGACTAGACAGCTATCAAAAGCTTCCATTAACAATGTTCAGAGATAAATATTGTTGCTTTTGTAGTCAAGTTGCACACAAGGGGAAGATAGTAGGCTCAGGGGAGCCATAAGATCTTCAGGGAAATTACAGAGAAAATAACAATTTAAGGAGGCAATTCCTCTCTCACCAGGAAACCAACTTGGTGAAGATTCATCGTATTCAGTGGCCTTAGAATGATGAATGTCTACTACATGTGTGGAGGGAGAAAACTCAGGAACCAAGAGAACAGGAAAGATGTTCCCTCCCAAAGAGGGATACCAGGTTATTACTCTCAAAAGTTGCATACCGTATTCAAACTTGTACTCAGTTGAAGTCTTTACACTGAAAATACATAAACAAAAACAAACACTGTTAGAAATGAACAGTGAAGGCAGAACAAGGATAACACTGCTTCAGTGGGGACTGAACTAAATTCTCATTTTGTTTATGTATTTTCAGTGTAATTTTAGCATTTGGGCTGACATATCCAACATAAAAAGGAAAAGGTTTTCCCTGTCCAGTTGTTACTAACTCCAAGGGATGGTACTCATCTCTGTTTCTCAGCCAAGAGAGCCAAAATTGTCCAAAGAGATTTCTATGGTCATGTGGCCAGTATGACTATATGCCAGAGTGCACAGAACACACTTTCCTTCCCACTGATACCTATTTATCTACTTACATTTGCATGCACTCAAATTGCTAGGTTGGCGGAAAGAGCTCATTCCATCACACAATGCTTGGGTCTCAAACCCCAGACTGTCAGGTTTCCAGCTGATAAGCTCAGCATGTTTAACATTTGAACCACCGCACCCATCCCATATGTGATAGAGGCCTTCAATTTAAGCATGGTTCAATTTTTAAAAGATGATTGCAGTCTTGACTGAAGAATTGGAAAACTAGAGTACTGGTCCAAATCGGCATCAGGGTGCTACAAGTGATAGGCTGCAGATCCCATTGATGCTCTGGCCAAGGGGTGTCAAACTGGTGGCCTGCAGGCTGGATGCATCACACGCAGGCCATGTCTATCCCAGCTCTGCAAAGGGGGAAAAACGTGATATGTCACATGATGACAATATGATGCGACCTGTGCTCTAGCTAATTCTAGAGGCAACTGATACTACCCAAGAGAAAAGGGATAGAGAGAGGCAGAAATGGCCACTGAGAACAGCTAAAATTATGTGATCGGAATCCCACTCTTTACATACTGTACTGTATTGCACATGTACAAAAGGGATGGTTCCTTTGAATAACTACAACTGTTGTCACAACCCTGTAGCAGCCCCTAAAAAGGGATCCTTCCTTATATTCTGACATTTTTGGCAAATAAGAAAATCCCTTGGGGAAACTACATTTTTGTATACAGCCATTCAGTACTTCTCTGCCTTTTGTTTACATTGCTGGAATAGCTGGAACTGAAAGGTAGGAATAGCACTTTAATAGATACTTATCATTCCAATCAAGCATTTCCTTTTATGTTGAATTGCTGATGTAATTACAGTGTACAAATATAGCTTGAAACAATTTATACATGTTGTATATATACAAATAATAAAGGGACATGTGCACTTCCCTGTCGATGTACATTTTGATTAACATAATTTATTTTGTAATTATGCAACTATTTGAAATAAAAGAGATAATGAAATAAGATAATAAAAAGGAAGTTATAAATCATTTATACCTTATATAAGTTATAAAGTATTTATTTGTTATTGAAGCAATGTCTTTTTCTATTTTACCCTTCAACAAATTGTTAGTTTAGAAGATCAAAGAAAATGCTGAAAATGCTAGCTATGGCTATTAAATAAGGTAGACAAATAGTAAATACAGAAAATCCAAAGAATTTTTAGTCATATTCACACAACTTGTAATTTAATTATTTTATGTAATAAATGACAGAGTGTCAAATTACCACACCACTTTTCTGACATGAATTTCTGATGAATATATTCAACAAGGAAATTTTGAAATAATACATGAGTAATATATGGAAAAATACAATTCTAGAAAAGAATCTAATTGATAGCAAATAATATCTCTGAATGAGAAGTTAGGAACACCCAAATATAGTGCGTAAAATGGGAATGCATCAATGAACATATAACTTTCGAGAAGAAAAATTGTATTGTTCTGAATATGTATGATGAACCCATGTAAAAATATGGAGGCCATGTGAATGCCTTTGTGCTTAAGTCAGCTTTTAGAATCACAGGTAAAGAACCTGATAACAATTCTGATAATTTTGAAATGTCCTTGTTATTTCATCTAAATAATTATATTATACCATTATTAATACTATATGCTTCATAATCCCATTTGAATGGTTAAAATACAGTATGATCGATACATATATACTTTTTTCTAAGACTCAGAATAGGTGTAACAGTAATAACAGTAATACTGTGTCTTCAAAAGCAAAATCTGCCTTCGGAATCAGGCTGCTTGTGAATTCATAGCCACCATAATATGGACTTGATCCAATTTATAAAGGGTCCCATTCACAGCAGAGATCATGTTTTGTCTCAGGATAGTGGTGTCAGGATCTTGAATTGGGGGATGTTAATATCAGTCCTTTCCCAATGGACAGATCACTCGAGTTCTCTGCACCCCACCATTACCACCACACACACTGCATTGAGGTAAATCCCATGATCCATTTGATCAGCCCACTCCAACCTACTAATAGGCTTTCAGAGGGAACTTGAGATTCCCCCTCACCCCATTAGTCATGGCTTGGAATAAGAATGTAAGTACTCTAGATCAGATAGATCATGCCTGTGCAAACACTCTGCATTTGTGGATCCCATAGGATCTCTAGGTTTACCAATGAATTTTGGGCAATGAAGTGACACAAGATGCCATTGGAGAAAGAACAGGCCAAGCAGACACCATAAGAGCCTTTATTAGCATTTACAAAAGAGATCCCTATCAGCTAATTGTTCATAGATAAATTAAATTGCATGTAACTCATACTTCAAATGTAAGTAGTGGCTCGCATGCTTTGAGTGAGATTGTACATTTAAGGGGCAATAAAATACCACCACCCCCTTCCTGAAGTAACGTTCTTATATTGCTGGCTGTGTTTTTTGTGGGACCCCAGTTACAGGAAAAGACAAAGTCCCAAATGTTGGTTTTCTACTGCCCTAGTCTATTCAATCTTTAGGACAATATCTCAATTTACTTGTCATTCTTTTTTTACACAAATTTTCAGTACAATATAGTTTTTCTTTGTAAATTTTCCAAAGGTAGCCTTTACACTCCACACTCTAACCTACCCTCAAATTACCCTTTTTTACAGAGGCAACTTTAATAAATAAATAATCATAGATAAAAGATATCCAGTTTTTGACTAGAGAAAAGAGAATGTTAAATTCCACACAAGTGCTTTCAAAGGTGTTTTTTTTACAATGAAGTCCATTTAAAAGTTTTTTTTCAAGGAAATTCTTGGAGGATTGTTTTTATATCCTTAGTAGTAAGGGGAAGCTGATATATTTAAACAATTCAAAAGCAAAATATACCTAACTAAGGGGTGAAGTCAAGGATTTTTTCAAGTAAAATCCTTTTTTTGACATACATTCCCGTTCAGTAAAATTCAAAGCAGTTGCTTATTGTGGTTATATATTTAAAGGTCAGTTGAGTTTATCTGAATAAGACAATAAGTCTTATTAGTCACACAATAGCATTAAAGCGAATAATTCAGCTTTTTTTTAAAAAAAATCATATAACATATATATCTCAACTCTAAATTATCTACTTTTCCAACTTCAGGAAATGAAATGTATAAGGAATCTCTTAGTCCATCAAGTCCTTAGATCTTGTATTCAAGCAAAACCAGCATAGAAAATAAAGTGAAACTTAGGGCATCCCCTGCCCAAAATAACTCCCCAAAACCCAAGCCAGGTTTGCTTTTTTATGTACAGTGCTATACAGCGATTTGATGTGAAAAGGAGAGGATAATTTGGAGATCAAGTGAACACTCATACCCCTCGTCTCCAACTTTGTAAAGAAGCGTATGTTACAGCAGTAGGATTCAAAGAGATGCCAAGAGGTGCCACGTGTACATCTCTGCTCCAAATTACCTTTTCCCTTTCAAATCCAAATCACTGTACAGTTCTGCTTATTAACAATAGTTCTGGTATTCCCCACAATAACATGTTAAATATTTAACATGCTTCTTCGTCTGAAGTAATCAAAACTCATGTTTTAGAAATTACAAGGGGGAATTCTTTTTAAAAAACACAAATACCATTTGTTAACTGCAAATCCTAGGAGAGGCAAAGCTTCGCATTAACATCAGTTATAGTTTCCCTCTGAAGAAACAGACAAATATATTTTTCCAAATGTTCTAGTATATTGATTGTTGTTGTCTTCCCTTTTTCGGCTAGTAATGTATAGAAATATGGGCTGCCTAATTCGAGTAACAACAGTAAAATGGTTCTCTACATGAAGCACATTAAAAAGTATTCCATTTGAAATGATCCAGATTTGAAAGAAAAGGGATGAACCAATGGAGGAATAAATGAACAACTAATTGCAAATCATGTTGCAAAATGAAATTGCTTGTGAAAGTTAAATATAGCATGACATTTAGTCAGCCAGCTAAAGTGTAAATAAATAGTATCTGACAACTTATTTTATGAGCTAAGTATCTTCTGATAGAAGCCGTACCTAAACATGGATTTAAATAAGAACTTCTGCATCTGCAATGCAAAGTTTTGTACAACCACTGGAAGTCAGTCAAGAAGCAGAATTTTTTAAATCCCTTTGTTGCCTTATAGTGCTAATTTCATTTTTTTGTTTTTTTGTTTTTCTTTTGTTTTTTCAGATAATTTTACAAATTGATGCATCTTTTTTTCCATCTAATCACATCCAGTTCTTAGAGACTAGCTGGACAAGTCCCAGCAGTTTTCTGGCAAAGTTTTTTTTTCAGAAGTGGTTTGCCACTTCTTCCTTACTAAGGCTTAGACGAAGTGACTGGCCCAAGATCACCCAGCTGGTTTGTGCCTAAAATTCACAGTCTCCCGGTTTCTATCTTGATGCCTTAATCACTATACCAAACTGGCTCTCATTTCTATTTTAGCAAGCTCCAATAACTTTTGTTCTGCCAAGGGATGCAAGAAATTATAAATACTTAAGAAATCCTGGAAACTTTAACTTACAAATAGTTTGGATAACCTCAAAAGTTTTCAGATGGCTAATTTCCTGAAAAGAAGGCATGCAGCTTTTTAAATATTTATTTATTTATTTTTATTAGGTTTAGTAAGGACGCCTGACTTTGAAAATACCTTTTAATCCAAAGATTATTAAACTGTCCTCATCTCTGACACTTGTTTTCTTCTCATGTTTTGGTACTCCTGGTTGTACCAGAACAAGAATTCCACTTTGTTTCTTCTATTTTACTGAAGTCAGAACTGTTTTTTTTAAAGATAAGACCATAGAAACCTAGAAGATGAGCTAGCCAAAGTTAAGTCTTTCTATATAACATTACTCTACGAGTGCAGCTTTACTTTCACTCAACTGAAATCAGAAAAAGCTGTCTTGAAACATGTGCCTGTTCTTTTAATTCAGTGGAAAGGCTGGCAATCGATAGACTCTTTAAGAACCAACATAAAGAGATAGCTTCCTAGCTAAAAAAGATGGATGGGCGTGGACTATTTGATGTGGTCTGTTGTATTCGAAAAAAAGTAAGTAAAAAAAATTACAGAACAGATAGAGTCACAAAACACAAATCTGGCAGGGCTGCTGCCCGTTTTCATTACAGGCAGGACATCGCAGAGCTCTGTATGACTCTTTAAACCGATTAGCCAACATTGAAAGCTTGCTTCCATGACACACAACACAGGGGGCAGAGCCTGATCCTTTACACTGTGAGCAGCTGTTCTCGTTGCCTTCCTGAAATACAAAGGCTTGATTAAACAATTTTCCTTTGTATCAGTTCACACAAACCTTTATCTAGAAGAAAAACAAGTAACAGGAAAAGTTCTCCAAGGTAAGGTCACTCCATTTTTTTCCCCAGCAAAATAAGCAAATTATAGGATTTGCACTTTTTTCACTCCAGAATTTTAAAAATTATTCAAACATAGTTTGGATTTTGCTGCTGGGGGTAGGGAAGGAAGACATCTTACAGCCTTTTGTTGTGGTCCAATTGCTTCAAGTTTTCAATGTTTCAAAATGTAAAACAACTGATGAATAAAGAGCAATCGATCACTGGAACAGCTTGCCTTTGGAAGTTGTGGGTGCTCCATCACTGGAGGCTTTCAAAACGAGACTGGAAATCATTTATTTGAAATGGTATAGGGTGTTCTGTCCTAGGCTTCCTCAAAAAGCACTAAGCAGACTCTTGTCCCGACCAAACACCTTTTATTAAACGAATATGAATTTCTTGCATTCACATTCAGCCAACGGCCTGGCAAAAATCTTTCAAGGGTATAATAGGAGCTCAAACCTTATCTATCTTGGAAAGCTACCCAGTAAATATTTCCAAACACAGTGCTGACAAGTAAGGGCTTAGCACAGAGTCTCTAGGATGCATAGACAGATCTTCACAATAATGAAATGAATGAATGAATGGTTTCTTGCAAAAAAAAAAAACCTCCCCTTTTGTTCCTCTTTTAATCCTTATGGGAGGGACCATTCATCGTCCATCTGTGGCCTTACTCCTATGTCGACTCTGAGTTCGTAATTGTTTTTTCCTTTTGGCAGCTTTGCGCATGCGCAGGCTGGGAACTGGTTCCAGCTGCTCCCCCGGTTCACTGCTATCTGAGCCCAAAGGCAGTTGATGACTGCCAGCCTGCCCTCACCCCATCTCTGCCTCTGAAGCAGATCCCTCATTCAAGTATTCCTCAGCCTCCAGGACTGGCCCAGGTTCCTCCTCAACCTCTTGCTGTCCGACTCTGCTGCCAGTTCCATCAGCTGCCACAACATAGGGTCTCCCGCTTAAGTAGTGGGTTGATCTAGAAGACCTTCAAGGTCCTTTCCAATTCTATTATTCTAAGTTCTAAGTTCAGTCCTGAGTGCCTGCTGCATCTATTTCTACCTTGAAGGATCACAAAAGATGGAGTGGATTCATTCCCTATCGCCCTAGAGGAAAGGTCCAGAACTAATGGATTAAAAGTACAAGAAGATCAGGCAGAACTTTCTTGATGTTTGTGAAACATAATGGTCTTATTAGTTTTCCTTCCCTGGGAAGTCTCCAAACACATGATAGATCAACAGGTCTAGATGATCTCTAAGGTCCTTTCCAAAGCCATGATACATTTATTTATTCGTTTGTTTGTTTGTTTATGTCATCTACCTTCTATCTCAATCTTCATGGACTTTCATGGTTAGGTGTCTATGTCTCATATCAATCATTTCACCAGTAGGAATACTAAGCAATTGTTCACTTTGGCAGAGGATTTGTACACTATGTACAGCTTTATGATATAAATTAAATGAGAGTAACGCACATCATGCTTTGTTAAAGAACAAGGAAAAAGAAGATAATTGTATTTTGATCTGGCTGAAAATTAGGGCTATTATATCTGGGTTGGAAAAGTCAGATTAGATTAGATGGTAGTCAAGAATTCGTTTTCTTTATCTCTTTGTCACCAGCAGGAGCCTGTCTAGATTTTGTCCTTGTAGCCTTCCTGCAAATGGTGGAAACCTTATCTTTAAAGATTATCAGTCTAATAATGATTGAAGGGCTTATTTATTAGAACCCCCCCCCTCCCTGCCATTACCTATCTAGAATGTTTCTAATGCTTTTTGTTTGTTTGCTTGCTTGCTTATTGATAGCTTACTCAAACCTACAAAAATATAGATTTTATCAGTGTCTCCATTCTTTACTTACGCCTCAAAATGTTCATAAAAGATTGGAACATCAGGAACAAAGGGAATGGCACTATTTTTTCCAATGATTTCAGTGATTAAAATATTGACATGTTGTTGTATCTTGTGGAAGTCCAGCAGTCTAATTTTCAAATTCTCACAGAAGTTTTATTTATTTACTTTTATCCCGTCTTTATTACTATTTTTAATTAATACTCCAATACTCTTTCCTCCTCCTACTTTCCCCACAACAATAATCCTATGAGGTGAGTTGGGCTGAGAGAGAGTGACTGGCCCAAAGATATCCAGATGGCTTTCATGGCTAAGGTAGGACTAGAACTCATAGTCTCCTGGTTTCTAGCCTGGTGCCTTCACCACTAGACAAAATTTTAGAGGAGAAATATGCCATATACTTGTAATATAAGACTGAAAGATTTAACAATATTTGGACCATGAATATTTTTAATTAATTATCCCTGTGGGGATTCCTCCTGTTCCATGTAAAGGAATCAGAAATGCCTTGTTGTCAACCCCTAGGATGAATACCTGACCTCACTCCAGTGAATGCATAGAGTCAGAATAAAACAAGAAATCATTTCATGCAAGAGAACTATTCCTTTCTTCCTGACAATCAGAGAAGAAAGACTGAAAAAGAAACAAACAAGAGGGCACGTAATATATGCAATAAATTGGACCTCTTATATACTTTCCCAAAAGTTACTGGTATTTGTGTTGTTTGTGCATGTTAATCACAGATAGGGGTGTGGGGGTGTTTGGGTGTGTGGGTGTGTCTTTAGGCACAGGTATTGAGACTTTATTCTGCCAAACAGGGAGAAACACTGAATGATTTGACAAGGACATGCCTTGCCATCTGGATGAGTAGAAATGATCTACTGATAAGAGTTTCAGCAATACCATACTTGGAAAAGTTATAGCCCTGGATTCTCTATTCTCAGCATTGACTAAGTTCAGATATTTCAAAATGTTTTGGTTGTAGTTACAAAACAGGTGACATCGATGATAAACATGACAAACTAGCTTATACATCATATGAGGTGTTATCTTCATGTTTATTAATTCTGGTGAATTAACTTGAAGATAATTATGGAGTGATAATGGGGTAAGTTCCTTTGACCTAGAATTTCTTATCTCTGCTAGCAAAACTGTCATCAACATTCCATATGTCCAAAAAGCTCCTAGATCTTCTTTAATGATACAGATTTTCTTTTGCTGCAATTTATGTATAGACACCCTACTTTTTTCCCTCTAAGTTCTCTTTTGCTTCCAAACTTCTAGATACCAAACTTTTAAACAAATAATGTTGATGGAATCACACCTGAGATTCTGGCCGTATCTAGGAAAATCCTGAATCAAAGAAAAAGAAATCAATTGTCTTACCCAAACTTGTTGGTTGTGGCCTGATTCAGTTGCATCACTGTTTATGTTTCCATTGCTTTGAACACTGCTACTTCCTCCTTTTTCTTCAGAGTTCATGAAGGAGCTATCATCAACACCTTCATTTTGCATGATTCTTTCCATTAGCTCTTTCTTGCTCAGGGGTGTCCGGATTATTTTTAGATTACTGGTATAAATTATAATCCTCCCAAAATCTAAAATGCGGGGATGCTGAAATAGAATAGCATAGGTAGATGTTTATTTATTTTTTTAAAGACCGATGGCCTTTTTAATGAGATCCAATCCATACATAGCACTGAGAAGTTTTCTTTCTTTCATTGCCTTGTAAAGTCAAGAGAAAATTCCTCCCACTGATTTGTAAATCATGTATATTTGCAATGATTTGCATTTTCTATTTAATGCCTATCAGATATGTCTATGAAACAAGAACTAAATTACCAAGTGCAAAGAAAGTTCCAACATGTCCGCCTACCAGACTTCTCCCCAAGTTGAATAAAAAGCCTGACCTCCTCAGATGGTAGATGGAAACGGGTTAAGTCAGAAGTTCCTGTGCCAAGGTGCAGGAAGTTCTCCGTAATGGAATTCATAAAGTTCATTCTTTCTTATTACACAAAGAAAGATACCTGGGTATCTTATTACATATTACATTTCAAAATCAGCTGAATAATGGCAGTCTTCCCATTGTTTACTTCTTAATCAACTGATATATATTGTTGAGGGAGGGAGAGAAGGAAGGGAGGGAGGGAGGGAGGGATTGAGAAATACAGGTAGAAGGAAAGGTGACCCAATATAGGGCAAGCAGTGTCTTCACACTGTGTCTATGGAGATTCTCAGTCATCCAGGTCATCGTTGTCCCAAAGCTGTTTTTTTTGAAGAGGCAACTGGACTTTCTGGTTTTTCTTTGAAAACATTTTGCTTCTCATCCAAGAAGCAGAGCCGGAAGATTTTCACTAGCATCTAGCCAACTCCTAACCCTCACTGGTTACTGATATGCAACCCCAACAAGTTCACAATGAGAAAATGTCAACTTCAGAGGGAAAAACAATTCTCCACTCCTGTCTATGTCCTGCATGGATGTCAGTTTTCCTAATAAGTAATATGATTCAATAAAATGCTTTGTAAATCATTGCATTCTCATTACTCTTCCTTCAGAGCTCATTGTGGGCTTCTATACTTTTATTATTTTAGCAGGTATACTTAGCAGGTGAACTTTAATGTAGTGGTTTCTGTATCTTATAATAGAAAGTGCTTGCAAATGGCATTCAGAACTGGATCTAATTTTTTAAGGCACTATATACTGGTTCTAATTGTCCTGTTTCTAATTTTAAATGAATTGCTACCACCACTACTGAGCAGTTACCAAGCTTCCGTCCTTTCAGAACTAGAATGAAGAATCCCATTCAACAGCGATGAAATCCAGCCTCTTAATAGCTTATGTTCATTTTGTTATTGCATTCTCAGAATAAAACAGAAGGTTTTGGACTGCCACAGATAGCCAGTAAATGCACTTTGATCAGAAACATTACACGTTTCAAAACTGAATAGACACAAAAATGCTATACTGAAATATACAAACATTTGATTTGACAGAATGATTAGAATCAAACTCTAGGAACCTGTTCGGGTGCTAATTACCCTACTAAATTCCAAACCTTATAATTGTAAATCATCCACACATCTTCAAAGAATTGCCAGTTCAGCAATACAAATATGAGAAGTTACTTTACAGGAGGTTAGGCTATTTATCTATTTGTTACCCTATTATTTCCTCCAGAGATACAGAGAAAATATATCTGGCTTTACTGCTAGGTTCTCTGGAGGGTTGATTTATGTAATGTAGGACTTTGAACACTATACAGCTCTAGCATTCAAAAACTAAATATTTTTACATTCATATCTATATTTCCACCAAGCTCTGGTAGGTCTTACGTTTCTTATAAAAAAGAACAGTAGGATAGTAGAACAGATCCTACAAGTTTGAAATAAGACCACATAGTACATGGTGTACTTTGTTAATCAACAGCTCTCCAGAACCCAAGCAAAAGTCTTCAATTTACATTGTTTGTACTTTAATCCTTTAAGCTAGCAATGTAAAAATGAAGTATGTGATCTTTGACATCTAAAGCATAAATTCCCTCACTGGGATATGGAACTTTCCCATTACATAATCTACTATTTTCTGCTTGGACTTCTGAATTTGTGCTGGTTTGAAACATTCTGTAAAGTTAGCTAGAATATATAACTACTAATACCTTTGTGTCAGGAGCATCAATGTGCTTCTGGGTTGGAAGGATTGAATGGCGACAACACTGTTGCCCAAGGGATGCCCAGTTGGGGGTTCCTTTCATGTCCCCATTAAGTTGCCTGTTGAAGTGATACCCATCTCTCTACTCATAGTGGCCCACTTTCAAACTGTGGGGTTGGCAGGAGCTGGAGGGTGTTACAGGAGCTCACCCCCTCCCACAGCAGCAACCAGGTCTCAAATGTGAGCCTGAAAATCACCAGCATCCTAACCTCATGAGCCACCACATTTCTACGAATATAAAAAGAATATATAACTAAACCAAATGATTAATATTTCATTAAAATAATGTCTTGCTAAACATAAACGTTATATACAATCTTTACCAAATGAATGTTTTAGTACATTTTACTACATTTTATAACAACATTACTTACCACAAGACCATCCGCCTTGTCATCATTTAGAAGGGAAGAGCTACTTGTGACAGTGTATTTGTTCCCTTCTCTGAATACACTGATCCTCTGGGCATTCAGTTTAGCTGATGGATAAAAGCTGTGATCTGGGTTTTCTTTAATCCCCAATAAATTGTCTCGGGGTTCAAAATTCCAGGACTGACAATTATGAGAGTAGTCTTCTGCTGGGATTTCAAGCTCTTGCCCATCTTCATACATTTGTTTTAAGACTCGACCACTGTAGGATGAGGAAATTTTGAATCTTACTTTTCGGGAACTTGTATCATGCTTTTGGCTGGATTTCTTCTGGAACTCATCCATAGAGGTTGGTTTTTCACAGAAATTCCCAGTCCAGCTACGATAGTTTCTAAGGCATCTAAATGAACAAACACAGAGAGAAAGATAAATAAATAAATAAAAAGAGCTATGCAATATATAATTCAAAAGCTCTATGGGCCCTCTCACATTACGGCTTAAAAGGACACCTCGAGATTAAACATTGATAGAGTGTCACACAAAAAAATCATTGCAGAAAGAGGAATTTACTCAGGGGACTGGGGCCTAGGCTTATATATATGCTGTAATTTTGTATTGTATTGTAAAGGATAACATAAAGGAGATTTATAGCTAAAGGAAAAGGAAATACACATGCAGGTGGGCACACATTTTATTCTACCATACGTTTAGCTTTTATTTAGTGGCTAAGTTGTGCACCGCTTCTAAAATGAATTAAAATGGCAGATAGCAATGTGTTAAAAGAATAAGAATCAACACTAAACAGTTCATTGCTACAAATAATCCTCCTCAGCTTTATTAGTGAGTAATTAAGTGCCCTTAGATGCAACAGGATCAAATCCTAAGTGACTATGGACTGCATTATAACTGTGTATAAGGGGAGCAATAGTAATTTAATTTATAATTTACCCAGGGGTGGGATTCTACCAGTTCGCACCTATTCTCTAGAACCAGTTGTTAACATTCTAAGCAGTTCGGAGAACCAGTTGTTAGAAGAAATTACTGGCCTAATCCTGTAAGGAAGGCAGGAAGGAAACATTCTGGTGTTGATTACAGAAACTGCCTCTCTGTTAACCCTTATTACATTCTTGGCAGGACTAGTCTTCCTGTCTCAGGAACTTCTCTGGAGTTTTTTTCCCTCCTTTGCTGGTACGGAGGGTACGGAGGGTACGGAGCTTGTGTGGAGTGACCATTCAAAGTTAAAATGGCACTGAAAAAAGTGACTTATGACCATTTTTCACACTTACGATGGTTGCAGCATCCCCACAGTCATGAGAGGCCAGACAAGGAGATGCATGCCTCGATATGAGTGATGTTGAGTTTGCCACACCCAGCCAATAACATGACCACCAAGCCACGTCCACCCAGTCATATGACCACCAAGCCACGCCCACCACCTAAACCACAACCACAGAACCAGTTGTTAAAAAATTTGAATCCTACCCCTGAATTTACCTCAATTTTCCCCCCATCGGTTTCAAAGTGGCAGCTGCAGGGTTGGGAAATAGTTTTTCCTGAGAGCCAAGGTTTAAAGAACTACCAAAACTGGTTCTCTGACCTGGCTTTACTCAACTCTCCTCTTCCTTAACAGAGAAAAGCACAGAGTAGGTGGATCTTCATGAAGCTAACATCCGGAGGTTCTTCCACAGGGAAAACTTTGAATGCCTGCTTCCCAATAATGGCAAGCAGTGGTAAAACCAGAGCTATATTTGAAGGCAGCAGCTCTTTGAGCTGAATTCATCGGTTCCCTCCAGAGTTGGGCTGACCTAAGATCATTTTTCTCTCTGAAGGACAAGTTGGCACTTTTGTATTTGATGTGCTGGAAAGAAGAGGCAGAGGCAGGTTAACTTTGACAAGGCTTTATTGTTAACTTGTATCTCAGACAGCTGATTCCGTTTGACAACTCCTTTTATACGGAGCTGTTAAACGGTTCAGCCAATCAGAGGCTTCTCCGGCTCCTGCTCAAAGAGCGGACCAGAGTGAAGACTGTTGTTGGACGCAACAGGCACATTCTTTCCTTCCATGTACAAAAAGCGGATGGTCTAGAAGGCAAATGCTGGTGATTGAGCAACATTCTGAGGGCAATAGCCTAGCTTTGAGATGATGTACCACCAATTCTTTACAGCTGAGACAGCTTCCACCTTCTGCCTACCAGTAGAACCATTGCTCAAATGGACATAGTTCTGTGGGCCTATTTCACTAATCTTTAGAATAGTTGAGTTTTTCCACCCCCTGTCTTCGCCACCTTCTACGGAGGTGGCTAGCCCTGAAGCCGAGTGGCTCAGGGCACTCGGGCAGCGAGCACAGGCAGAAACCGCGCACAGTCGCGGATTCCTGCCTGCCCCGAAGCACTGCAGACCTGTTTGTGTATTGTCTTTGAAAATCAATAAAATTGTTTTTTAAAAAAAGAATAGTTGAGTTTTTCCCCTCTTGTCTGTAAAAGATTGAATTTTTAATTATTTATACTGAACAAACAGCCGTTCCATAAGTATAGCAACCCACCCTCAAATTCTATGTGTCTATTTTGGGACATTTTTATATAACTTTTTTCACTCACTGGCAAATGCTCTAGTTTTCTGCCGTTTTAATGCAACACCTACACATAGATGAATAAGAATACCATGTTTCCATTTCAAGCCATAATCTTGAAGAGAATAACATTCCTCACCCTTATCTTCTTAGAAATATCCCAGGTGGTGTTGGAAATAATAATTAGGTAAAGACTCCTCCTAAAATATATTATTTCTGCCTCAACTTTCAGTCAAGAACACCTAAACTAGTTTCCAACATTTTGGGAAATTGTTCATAAAGATTAGTATGATTGAATTCTTTTCTTTTTAAGACGAATTATAAATTTGGAAGATACAGGTAAGTAACATCCTTTGTTTCCTGCCAACTTTCCATGAGAACAAAAACTGAATATGCACATGGAATACTTATTTATTGGTAGGAGAATAAGCAATTATTTTTAGATCTGTAATTTGTAATACCTTGTAACTAGTATCCTCCATAAGCTGTTATTGGAGAGTTGATAAAAAAAAGACTGATCAGGTTTCCTGACAGATAAGAGTTTGCCAATTTACTATATAACTGTATATAATTTACCAGTAGAAATGCTATATATGCTTTTTTCTTTCTGCCTCCTATTACATGATAGTCGTATTACTTTACACTGAATCCAAATACTTCTTCCCTGTGCCATATCTGAAGTCAGGTGAAAAGATCTCTATTTCTCTGATCTCCAGGATTTCAGGAACATAGTAGTGCTGCCATCTAAAATATATCCACACAATTTATTAGCGCAGTTGTTTTTTTTTTTAACAAATGGCATTATAAACCTGACTGGAAAAGTCACAAATTAAAGTCACAAAACATGGAATGCTGTAAATGTCATAAATACTTGCTGGTTGCCAAGCACCCAAATTTTGATCATTTAACCATAGGGATGCTGTGATGGGTATAGCAATAGCAAAAGCATTTACACTGATTTACCATTCAATAGTGCTTTAGAGCACTCTCTGAGGAGTGTACATTGTCAGCCTATTGCCCCCAACAATCTGGGTCCTCATTTTACTGACCTTGGAAGGATGGCAGGCTGAGTCAACCTTGAGCTAGTCAGGAATGAACTCCTGATGTATGGGCAGAGTTAGCCTGCAATATTGCATTCTAACCACTGCACCAACTCTAAGTGTGAACATTGTCATAAGTTACTTTTTCAGAGCCATTTCCCTGAAACATGTTAGGAATATTTTTAAAAACATATATTTAAATATATATATTCCAACAATTAAGTTGCTGGGTGCATAAAAATGTATGCAGAATATTTTGTGTTTCTCCAGAATTTCCATCAAAAAAACCTTATATAATACAGCTTTTGAGATGTCTCTGGCCATACACACAATATTCAAAAAAACCTCTAAACCTGAGTTTAGAGGACTAATATTCTCCCAACCAAAAATAACGTTTTCTAAAACCCTGGCCCATGAACCCTGAATTTGATTTTGCACAGGAGCAGGGAAGCTTTTCAGAGGTCAGATCTGTATTTTCTCTGTTTCTTAAATGTTTTGGTTATATTATAAGAATGAAACAGTTATTTTATTCTCCTTTTTATGTCAGAAATCACTGTAGTCATTTTGAGGGAAAACTGCTCAGTTTCAGTACTGCAACCAAAACTGACAAGCATTTAGCCTTCACTTATCTATCCTACCTTAGCAGAACTGTGGATTGGTGCTATTAAAAAGTCACAAGTGACTAGTGCCCTAGAAAATCTGGATTACTCAGATCATGGATGTGAAAAACACTCCACAACAGAATTTATTAGCAACATAACCTATGCATTTCATTTTATAGGTAGCCTTCCACCACCTGGTGCTAGGTCTTTAAATATCCAGTCAATGAGGCATGTTTGTTGGAAGGGCACTCTAGAAAAGAAAGACAGAGGGAGAGACTGAAATCCACACTTTTTGAATGCACAAACTGAACCATATTTTTATCTGGATGTTGCAATCAGTTGTGTTGTCCTGTGATTCCCAAAGGCCTCTTTAAATGGGAGTGAAATATTCTCTTCCCATAGCACACCAGAATTGCAGGATAATTCAGCACTATAGAAATTTCCAACAGAAGCAAAGTGTTCCTGGCACTGAATCCAGTGACATTGGATTTCCCTGCGCATCTCTCAACATATTCAAAACTTAAGAGTTGTGATTCACTTCAATAACAACTGGGTTGCTGACTTGCCCACAATTACTGCCTACTGTAATGTATTTTGAAAATGTCCTCTCTGTACTATTATCCTTTTTTCATAATTTATCCTAGGGACATGTTGTTCAAAGTCTTGGAACACATCTGAACAGAACAAAATAAGCATTACTGTAACATTGGGAGAACATCCATTTAACACTTTTAATTAAAAATTTGTCCTCATATATTGATAATAAAAAAATTTTTTACTGGTGCTGATGCAGGTGTAACAAATTCATATAAAGTAGGAGATATTTCTTAGTTCTGTAGTCATGATTTCCTGCTTACTATCCACCTTAAAAGAAAAATTCTGAGGTGCCAATTTGACATTCTAAGAGTTTTGTCCCTACCAATCCTGTTTCACATAATATGCAGAGATAAATATAAGCCTTCTATTGAACAAATATCAAGACAGAAGAGCAACCAGTTATGACATCTTGATAAGTAGGCCATCCATCCTTCCACCCATCACATTTATATCCTGCTTATCAGCCTGAAATACTAATATAATCCAATGTATACTAAATTATATAAATTCTAAAATATTTTAATTAGGAGCCACTCCAGTCTATATTTTCCTGAATAACCAGGGTCCATACTACACCATAATTCAGAGTTTTATATCTGCTCATGCAGATATGGATTCATCAATATACAAGCTAGATCAGATCAGGCAGTAGCTAAAGTTTCAAAGAAAGCTTCATTCAAGATTTATTTTTATTTGACAAATTTAGAGGGACTAACAATAAATAAATAGAGGACTTTCTTCCACTTGAATTCCATGTGGCTAAACTAATTAGTCTTTCTTGAGGGAAACTTTTTAAGAAATGTGCAATTTGATATTGAACTTTTCTTTACAAGGGTTAAAAAATACAGCCCTTTTCAAATCCATGAATTAAGAAATCCTCAGCTTTATAGTTCTTTGATAAAAGATAAAACTTTGCTGGTAACTGTGGTGGAAAGGTATGATGAACCCATTATAGGCCACAATGGAATATTACTACTAAAAACAATGCTTCTTAAATACCTGAAATGTGATGATCTGGATCTCCAAAACATTCGATGTAATTCTATAAAAGAAATATTCAAAACATTCAAATGCAATTCTATAAAAGAGAGGAAACAGAAGCCATTTCAAAGCATGAGGTGGTAGGTATGTAATCTGGAGTCACAGAAGGGAGGGACTCTTTCCCAGAGAGCAAAGAGATGTTGAAGTATGGAATGTTTGGTATGCAGGAAGAAGGTGAAGGTGGACCTCCCTAGCAATTCACAGTTATGATGATAGTTGCAGATAGTTGCTTTAGTCTGGCAAGATTTCTGTCTGTAGCAAACAATAATAAGAAACTACTCAAAAGTAAATCCAATTGTCATTCTTGACTCTTTGGGCCTGACAGGGTACAACTTAATGAACATTTTGACTTTATGGAAGACAATCGTGTTTCTTAACGTATGTATGGACATCAACACTCTTTTGATCTGCCATCACTTCAGATCTACACTTCATGTGGTACTCTACCACAAAGCTCCCCAACCATGGGCTACTACTGGGCCACAGCCCGTTCAGAACTGAACTGCACAGGTGGCAGTCAAGCACAGATGCACCGTTCCATTTGTGCAAATGGCATGCACTTGCGCATGCACATGAAGCTCCATTTGAAGCTCCACGGAACCACCTCCTTTGCCCCTCGCACCGCTCCTCAAAGCCAAAAAGGTTTGGGACCACTGCTGTACCATGTGGGGGAGGGAAGAGACTGAATAGTCTTACACGTTTAGGATTTTGTTCTGCCCATTAGCAGAATATGCTCTATAACAGGTTTCTCTTGAAGAAACGCACTCAGAACAAGAAATTCGACATTTTCAAAATTTGAGTTTTTTCCAGTGCTAAAAAGGTTCAAAAGACTCAAATTTAGATATCAGTCTATATGATTTACCCAAAAAATGTAATTAATTTTTCCCTGGAATGAAGAAATCAGTCTTATTACATTCAGAGTAGTGCTTGTGAATTTAATTAAGAGTTCTCAGTTTGCCATGAGGATATGACAGAAGTATACACTAAAGGGGTTATTAAAAATGTATAAACATAAAATGTCTACATTAATACAATAGTTAACAAATTTAAAAAACAATTAGAACAGTATAAATATATACAATATCTCCCTCAGTAAAATAAATACAGAAAGCCTTCTCAAAGAACTCCATTGTTAACTTGTTTCTAAAAGTAAACAATTATTGTGTGCTAATCTAGCTTTTTAGGGCAGCTGCTCAATCCTCTAGGAGCATGCTGAGAAGTTTTCTTCCTGACTTTCCAAGAGAATTAGTAAGGACATTCCATTATCTTGGAGTTGGCAAGTATATGATTAACAATCATTTTTTTATTAGACTCTGTAATAGTATGTGAGACTGATCAGGAGAGACAGGAGGAAGAGCCAGAACCTAGACCAGTGGTTCCCAAAGTGGGCAGTACCGCCCCCTGGGGGGATGGGATACCTTAGGGGGGCTCTGAGAGGCAAGGGGGCTGGCAGGGGGCGCTAAGAGGTGGCGGGGGGTGCTGGAAGTGAGCGGCAGGACACAATTCAGGGGTGAGAAAAAATCCCGCTGCTGCCATGTTCGAGGCAAGGACCCGCAGGATCATCCCATTGACTTGCACGGTCTGGTGTAAGGAGCTTCCCCCCCCCCAAACGCAGGGTTGGGAAAGGAGAGCAAAGCCAGAGTGGCTTTGCTCTCCTTTTCAAATATCCCACCACCGTGTTCAGGGCTGCGGGGCAGTGCCCCGAACGCAGCATTGGGAAAGGAGAGCAAAGCCAGAGTGGCTTTGCTCTCCTTTTCAAACATCCTGCCACCGCTGTATTCCACCCCATTGAGCCCCTTGCACCGGAGGCACCTGCCCAAGCACGTCCGAACGGAGCAGTGCATGAAGTCAATGGGGTGAGCCTAAGAGAGGGAAAGAGAGAGAGAGAGAGAGAAAGAGAGGAGAAAGAAGAGAAAGAGAAAAGGGAAAGAAAGAAAAAAGGACAAAGAAAGAGGGGGATGGAAGGAAGGGAAAGAAAGAAAAAGAAATAAAGAAGGAGGGAGGGAGGGAAGAGAAAGATAATGAGATATCTATTCTAGTCCAATCACCTGCTCCAGCAGGGTTAGAAGGGAGTGTGTGCGTGTGTGTATTCTCCTTGTAATTTACCGGTACATTTTGGTCTTGCCTTCTTCAGAATTGGCACTGTAATACATTGGGTAAAAGTAATTTTTTAGGGTGGAGATCTGGTCCAATGGATCCTGTTTAAAGCCTCAACAAAATATGAGAGCTTCCTGATAGTCTTGGCCATGTTTCGTCCACAAAACCTTTAATTAATAGGAGCCAAAGATGTTTCAATGTGCTGGCAAAGATGCTGGCAAAGATGTTTCAATATGGAAAAGGGCCTCTAAACTAGGCCTCATTTCAATCTGATGCATCAACGCTCTCTTCTCTCTCTCTCTCTCTCTCTCTCTCTCTCTCTCCCTCCCTCCCTCCCTCCCTCCCCTTTCTTTGTCCCTTTTTCTTTCTTTCCCTTTTCTCTTTCTTTTCTTCCTTCTCTCTTTCTCTCTTTCTCTTTCCCTCTCCAGGCTCACCCCATTGATTTGGTGCACCGCTCTACTTGGACTTGCTTGGGCAGGTCCCTCCAGTGCAGTGGGCTAAATGGGGTGGACCTGCGGGATCGACACCTAGAACACGGCAGTGGCAGCATGTTTGAAAAGTAGAGCAAAGCCAGAGGTCGGTAATTTTTGCTGCAAAGAATCACAAAAGCTTCTGGGTTGTGCACAAGAAGGGACACACATGTCAATGCAATTCAGCAACATAAATAAAGAAATACAAATAAAACAAATCAACAAGAATCGGCAAAGCATCTCTGATTAGATTTTATTCACTACTAGAATCTAATCAGAGATACTTTGCTGATTCTAGTCCAATGACCTGCTCCAGCAGGGTTGGAAGGGAGTGTGTGTGTGTGTATGTGTGTGCATGGCTGTCAAAACTCCAAAAACAGGTCAAGTAGTTCTGGGGAGGCCAGTCATAAATTAGAACATTTGCTAAGCAACTGGCCATTAAGTGAGGACCACTTGTATTTGGTTTGCCAGTTACCAAACCACACTCACCCAGTCACGTGACCAGCAAACCACGCCCACCCAGTCATGTGCCCAGCAAGCCACACCCACCCAATCACGTGACCAGCAAACCACACCCTCAAATTAGGCCATGCCCTCAGAAATTTGAATCCTGCCCCGGGGGGGGGGGCATTGAGGATGAGTTTGTAGCACCAAGAGGGTGGTGGACTGAAAAAGTTTGGGAACCACTGTCCTAGACCATCACACAAAAGGTATCCCAGTCCACAGAAGGAAAAGGGGCACAGGAAGGATTTCATATGGGATCCTCTTTAGTTTTCTAAAACATGAAAAGAAAGGAGGGAAAAATGCTTTCAGACCTGCAAGCCGTTGCCCCAGCTCAGTTTCACTGTGTGTACGCATGCGCCTCCCGCCAGCAGCTGATTTTCGGGTATCTGCCACACATGCGCAGGGGGCGGGGTGCATGTGGGAGACATGCGCACGTGCGCAGGGGGTGGGGAAGGTCGCACATGCATGTACAGGGGGTTCGTGTGCATGCACAGAGGGCGAGGAGGAACATGGGAATGAGCGCATGCACAGGGGTGGGGGGAGCATGGGGGAGCACATGCATGCCCAGGAGGCAGGAGCACATGGGGCCATGCATGCATTGCATTATGGGTGCAGGCACACATGTGCGCACACACTTTCGGCACACGTCAACGAAAAAGTTAGCCATCACTGGACTAAGGGAAGCAAATTTGGATACGCTGATGATTTCGTCATAGCAATACAAGTAAAACGCATGGATGTGGCAGAGAGCCTCCTGTCCAAAGATCTTAAACTCTTGGGAAAATTCTTCACTGACTGGAGGCTCACACCTAGCACCAGCAAAACAGTAACTACGTGTTTCCACCTTAACAACAAACTAGCATATGAAGCACCAAAGATCTATTTAAACAATGTACTCCCCTGTTGATCCCGTCCACCTTGGACTAACTTTGGACCAGACTCTCTTTTTCAAGATACACCTAGAAAATACAGCTGCAAAAAACAATACTAGGAACAACATACTTCAGAAATTATGTGGAACTAAATGGGGAGCTTCAGCTGCCACCCCTCAGGTTATTAGCATTAGGGTTGGTCTACTCCAAAGCAGAATACTGTGTGCCCAGATAGCCATTAACAGCTGCCATACTACTAAGTTAGATGCCAGACTTAATATATAGTATATATTAACATACATAGTATTAGATACAGTATTACATACATATTATAGTATTATCATACTCTATGTATGATATGCCATATGCTAAATAATACTGTTAGCAATGATGGCTGGAGTTTCTTGTCTGGACTTCCTCAAAGAGCTGATAGGATCTTAATGTCTTAAAAAATATTTAGGATTAATTCTGTTGCTTTAATGAATTCCTAGCCTGCCTTTAGAGTACGTACTCTCCTAAAAAGCCTTCCATAATTTTTTTAAAAGCAACTAAAAATATCAATGTTACAATAAAGGTTGCAGATAAATTTAATCTTAATTTAAAGAGCTTGCTGCTCTTGTTATCCTATTCTATTATTTTTTCAAGCTTGTAAATTAGCAGTATTCCCAGGAGATGTCAAAAATGTCAAGATGGCTATCTGAACAGGGCAGTCAAAGGCCCATCTGCTCAGCAGGTATACAATGCATATTACGCTGTCACAGCCATCATCTTGATTTGTTTTATTTATTTTTTTAAAAACCTGCAGATATTATTGCCCATAGTCTGAGATCTTACACTTTTCAATATTAATCTAAAAAGTTAACCAAACCATAGATCAACTTTAACCATTTAAAAAGAGACTAGTTAAAACAAGCCAAACTCAACAGAAAACATTATTTTTAAACGGCATATGTAAGTTAAAGAAAACTACCTAAAATCATGATTAAGAGTTGATTTAACCACCATAGATGGACTATCTTTTGTCACACAGACAAAACAATCAACAAAAAACAAAACATCTACTAACTTGTGGTGATTCCAATTTATCACATCCATACCCAGACTTTAGATGCCACTGAGTAGATTTAGGGCACTTTCAAAGTATTTTGTTTTGGTTTTCTGTAATCCACATCTTTTTTCACTGTTGCATAGCTCTTCTTTTCATTTTTTTCAACATAAGCAACTATTAAGTGAGGCATATTACAGCAAAAGCTCCTCTGTTCTCCTGATGGGTGTGAGCAGGGACTGAACAAACAGGAAAGGAAATTGAGATAGTGATGCTTAAGGAAAATGTTGACACCATGTATGTTTCAATTTTCATCTTTGTTATCATAAAGTAGGCAACAATCATTATCCTAATGCTTTAATACAACTCTATATACAGTATGAAGGCAATATTGAAATATATATATATACACACACATGCATATACATATATACACACACACAGTGAGAGAGAGGAGGGAGGGAGGGAGAGAGAAAGAGAGGGAGAGAGAGGGAGGGAGAGAAGGGGTGGTATTAACCATTAAGCAGAGTAAGCATATGCTTAAGGCATCAAGATTTGTTCATGCTTAGGGTTAATCCTCCTTAATCCACCACTCTCTGAGTGTGTGTGTGTGTGTGTGTGTGTGTGTGCGTACACACACACACCAAATTCCAATATTGCCTTCATCTATAGGTAGTCTTTGACTTAACCCATAATGGAGCCTGCCCATCAAATGTCATGGTGGTTGTAAAACAGGTTGGTCACATGACTGACCCAATTTATGACCCTTTTGTGGCACATGTTAAATAAATGCTATAGTCATAAAGTGAACCATTGGATCACTATGGGTCCAGTTTTGCTGAAAAGTGTAGAAATGCACATTTTCAGCAAAACTCTCATGAAATGCAGTCACGTGACTTCAGGACTCTACAAACAGCTATAAACCTGGCCATGTTGCTAAGCACCTGAAGTTCAGTCATTTGACTACGTGGGGTGACCATCAGAGCTTCAAATCCAAGGTGAGTCCCTCAAAACTTCAAACAGTTGCTAAGCGACCTAGCATAAGTTGAAGACTACAGTATCTGTACCGTGCTAGTTACTAAACTTCAACAAGGATACTGTGGAGCTGAAAAAGGTGCCAAAAGCAGCAATTTAAAAAAACTGAAGGGATGTGGAGGATTACTGTTCTGTGGAGAGTGACAGCATTGAGTTGTCTTGGTCAGGATCTGAAGAGTAGAGGCTGCTTCATTGACTCCTTCAAGCTCCCAGTTTAAGAGAACACTTCTAAATATAATTCCTGCTCAGGTGAATATCAGCAGAGGAAATACGGATTTTAATCAAAGTTACCACCAAGCTGTTTTCTTTCAGCAGAGCTACACTCTGTTCTCAAATGAAGACTTTGCTTTAGATCTTGTCTCTCTCCTTTTGGACAAAGTCAATGGCAAAGAACAAAATCTTTAGAAGAAAATTGCTGGATTTGAAACAAAAGCACTCCCTTCCCCAGCAGATGCCTCTTGAGATTGAAGTTTCATTTCATTTCTCTAAATATGCAACCCCACGTATGTCTACTCCATAGTAATCTCACTAAGTTGAGTGAGGTTTACTTCTAGGTAAGTGTGTGTTTGGGGCTAATTTTTATTTGCATCACAAAATGCATTCTTCGTTCTCTGTGGCACCTCTTTGCTTTTACAGACAGGTTTGTTGTGGGGTGTTTTTTTTTTAATCCCCATTTTACACTTCCCCCTCTGCTTCTAAAACAAGATCAGCTCCAAAAGAAAAAAAACAAACTAAGCCAAATTATTGATCCAATGTACTGTAATCAAGGCCAAAATAATTCAAATGCGTATGTGTGGTTTCAAGCAAACAGCTCCCTCCTGGCAACTAATCAGACTGTACTCTTTTCGCTGATCTAAAATCTGTGTAGGAGTAGCAGCCTGGCAACATATGAGTTAACAAGGCAGCACGTGTTAAGTTTAGCTGAGCAATGCACCTAGTTAAAGTTTTCAACGCAGCTGCAATTCAGAGTGAGAGAAAGAGAAAAGCAAGCTCTGGAGCTGGTATTTCATGAGCCGGACTCATTTTAAAGGGGTCATGAATGCAAGGTCAGTGGCACACACTAAAATTAGGAGCCTATTCTAATTTATCTTTTTCTTCCTCCCCTCCCCCCTTCCCCCCGCTACAGCTTCTTCCTTCAGCACTCAGCCAGAAAGCTCAGCCCCAGAAGCTTATAACTCTTCCTCGGCAGTCTGAGTCACAAAGAGAGCAAGGTTGGATTGTTCAAATTTAGGAAAGGAAAGGAAGTGTCTCAGGAATTGCGACACTTGAAACATTTGTTCTGGCTCGATATACAAGATTCAGTCTTCGTTAGCAGACTGTGTTTTAATGTGGGATGGCACAGAGCTCATTTTTGCAGGCCAGGACTTGAAATTAGGATTAAATATTGGTTCTGCTTTGGCTTGGTATACCATTGGGAAAGGTGCTGAACAGGTTGGGTAACTTTTCTGCTTTGGGCGGAATAATAATACTCCCCCTTTTCAGGGCTGGTATTGGATTGTCAACTATTAAAGATAAAGCAAGCTGCATTGCCAGTCTCTTGAAATCAAGCACAGGTTGTTTTATTTCCAGGTATGCCAAAATCGTGTCTTTTATCAAGGTGATTTTCCTAGGAGAAATTGGGGAACTGCAGAAACGTGTTTTAAGATAAAGTGGGTATTTTCAAAAGAAGGGAAGGGGGGAGAGAATGTGTTCAGCCCTGTGCCTCAGCAGAATTCCTTCTGTTTGTACTGAATGTGGTGTGATTGTTTGGTCACTTTCACAACATAATTATTTTTTATGTAGCATTATGTGAAGATGGATGGATCACCCTACAATACATCCAAGCAGCATGTTGTCATACTGTGATGAACTCAATTGGGATGGAAGGAACAAGGTCTCTTTTATTCAATGGCTACCTGCAACAACAAATGAATCTTGGGTCTTTCTTGATCTCAGTTGGCCATTGGATATAATTATGTTTATCTAATACTTATGCCAACATGAATAATGTCACACCTACATTAGGAGCAGGGGAGAGAATATTCCATACAAACTGCCTAATTGAAGGGTTCCTTGAAATGTTGGTGGCATGCATTTCATATTACTGAAATATTTATGCTTTATAATTTATCTTTTCTATTATTTTCCTTATAGAATACTGTAGTTTTTAGAGTTTAAAATTACCAGTATGCTGCATGGGACATTCCTGAACAAACCAATTCCTTCCAACCAAATAGCAAGCATGTGGACATTTCTAGATCTACTTGAGGCTGGAGTTTTTCACTGAATAGAACATCAACATCATGGACAATTTATCTTTACTCGACATGCTAGAGTGTCCAGTGTGCCTGGAAAAGCTGGATGTCTCAGCCAAGGTGCTTCCGTGCCAGCACACCTTCTGTAAGTCTTGTCTCCAGAGGATTTTGAAATCACACAAGGAGCTGAGATGCCCTGAATGTCGAACCCTTGTACTCAGCAATATTGAAGAACTGCCTTCCAACCTTTTTTTGATACGTTTATTGGATGGAATCCGGTTTGGAACAAACATGATGAAGTATGGCTCACTCCATCGATCCTCAGCCTTTTCCTCCCCTGCCTCCATCAGGAAAATGGGGGGAGGGCCAAAAAACCTAGAGCTTGATCAATATCGGATGACTTCCAGTCCCAGGATTCCTTTGGAAGAGGTAAGCAAGGTCATTTCTTTCATCGCTACCTGTATTAGGGAGATTTTTTTCCGCTGCTTTTCATTTTTAAGGAGTTAGATGAATTCAGGTAATTATAAAGTGGTTTGACTTCTCTCTGAGGTCCCTACCCATCTTAACTGGATTTGTACGACAACTCTTACTTTCCTTTTAAATGTATTCCATCTGGAACTATTTCTAGCCAAGAGTTTGAGTCTTGAATTCTCAGAGGCTTGCCATCTCCAGCTGAGCCCGAAATTGAACTGAGACTTTTCAGGGTAATGTTATAGTACAGCTCTTTCCAGCTTTAGATTCAATCAAGAAATGGAGAATTTATATATATATGAAAAAGCAGAACTATTTTCACACCTGTCAAGGACTGAGGAAGATTAGCCTTTCACACAACCTTTTTTTAAAAAAAAATATTTTGTCTTGTGCTGTTACAAAAGTAGCTTTTAAAAAAAATAAAACATTGTTTTTGATCTTTTGAAAATGTGACAGGACCAGAATATGGATAAAAAAAACTATGTCAGTTGTGTCCTAAATTCATTACTTTTCCAGTTATTCCAGTCCTCCTTAAATTGAAGGGTGTATATATGTGAACACATGCACACAGAACTCACTGAAAAGTTCACACAGACTCACACAAAATGATTGACTTGACATACACATGTGAGGGTACCAACTATATGGATCTGGGTGGTAGGCAGAGACAGCTTTCAGTTCATGTAACTAAGAACTTTTTTTTCTCTTAATTATAACTGTATACTTTAAAACAATTTTTCAAGAGTATGAATTTGTAGGCAGGTCCCTGCAATTCACTCTTTGTTAGGTGAGTGCTTTTCTATTTAGTATTGAAACCTGGAAGATAATTAATCACCCTCTGACAATGGCCATTTAAAACTACAAAAATGTATTTAAAAGAACCACGTTTGAAGCAATTCTCAAAACAAATTTATTAAGAAAGGAGGCAGACTACTCCAGTTGTATTTTTTCATCCTCTGTGTGGACTGCCTGGGATTCCCATAACATGTGGAGGTTGGTATGTAGGAGAAGGCAAGATTAGGATGTTAATAACAAGAGCAGGAGGTAAATAACAAGAGCAAATGATAGTGGGTGAAGTCAACAGGATGCCTTCACCCAGACTTGCCCAGCTTGAAGTTATCTGTAACCTAGATGCTTTCCTAATTATACATGTGGATCTTTATTCTCCTTATCTCATTCACGTTGCAAATAAATCTGCATAAACTGTTGTGGCATTCTTATTCCCAAAAAGTACCTTTGATAACCTGATACTCCCATACAATTGTGCTTGAATAAACACAAATGATTTAAGTGACTTTTTAATACAAATCAACAAAGCTAATTTACATTGAACTAAGGTATAGGCCAGATCCCTCCCAAAGCCCTGAAGTGGGTCAGATGATGGAACAGTTCTATGAAAGATTTGCCTCCTCTAAAACTATCTCCGCCCCAGATGTCACATAGTTTTTAGAATAGCAGGTTGAAGAACGTAGAAATGCTTTGAAGTGATTCCTCCCTGATGCATGTACTTGAAAGCGTTCCCAGCTTGAGGTGCCTTCAGAGGCCACATTGCTGAAATCTGGCTTTTCCTGCCCATCGCTACAGCTAAATAACAGGCAAAATCCAGGGGAAGCACTATTTCAAGGCGTAATCATTGCCTTTAAGGAAACTGCTGCTTCTCAGCGAAAAGATGGGAGGTAGAGTTTTACTGAAGTGACAAATGCTTCCCACAGCCCAGATGGATTGGATGCCAGAGATTCCACAGATCTGTAATCCATCCTGCTTTTCTTTAATATTGTTAGCAGCCTAACAGTGATAGTGTCTTAAGAGACAGAAAATATAGTTTTCTTCTTCAACTCAGTTTTGAGGTCAATCATTTTTTAATTTGAGAGGACTTGGGATTTCTAAAATTATATTATCCTGGCAGTAGCATCTAGCCTAGAAAGGAAAAGAATATGTCAGGTTAAAACAGAGATGGACAACATTTTGTAGCCACAACAACAATAAATTTCCAAGGACTAGAGGGGTGATAGCATCATGACATCACTGGATTGAATGGAGCCAATGTTTTAGGAAGGTCCTGCCAATCTAACAATCTGAAAGCATGCAAATGCTGTAGGTAAATAGTAGCACTTCAATGGGAAGGTAACAGTATAAACCTCAATGTATAGTCAGGCCAGTCACATGACCATGGAAGCATCTTCTGATAACTTTGGCTCCCACAGCTAGGAAATGGAGATGAACACTGACCCCTAGAGTTGGATACAACTGGACAGGGAAAACCTTTTTACCTTTTCTTTTTTGGTATAAATGAAGTGGATGCCTTAAAGCTTTGCACACTTTTGTCGTCTTCTCTGGAAGACAAAAATTAGAGAATGAAGGACAAAGGTAGCATCTTAAATTTCTGCAAGGCTCAACAGACCACCCTTACATTATCAAAATCAAATCACCCTATTGTCCCATTGACTGAAAATATCAATCCTGCCCACTGGGCCTGCTCTTGGTATTGTGTTCAGACTGTAGGTGGCTCACCCTAACTAAAATGAGTGATCATGGATTAATGTTGAATCCCTAGAGAGCAAAGTAGACTCAATAATCTAAATGGGAAAGATTGCATAAGACTGCTCATTTGAAAGTCTATCTTCTTACTCTATTGTGTTAAGACAGAAATTTTATGCATGCTTACTCAGCAGTGAATCCCACTGTGTTCAGTGGAAAATACTCCTGGGAGGAAGAGATTGCCTTGAAGACCTATTATATGGTTTTGTTTGTTTAGTCTGTTTTTAGTATCTGTACAGAATTTATTCATAGTGTGCAATTATAACTACATAAAATAATGCATTGTCAGCTACCAAAATTAATAACTTTTTAAACTGAAAGAGGGGACTAGGAAGCAGGATTATAAAGTCCAACGTCTGTTTCTTCCCTACTACTTTTGAGGGAAATGCCACCTCTTCCTTTGATGTCAACATACCTTGCTTAGTTTTGTTAGGTGAAGATAAACCATTTGCTGTTCTGCATTAGGCAGTGATGTGTCCTAACTGAATTAAATCTATTAAAAGGCTCACAATACAGCAGAATCTAAGCAATGTGCTAACTGCCTCCAAGAGTAGCTCACCTATGGAAAAACACGCAATATAACCTGCAATGGAAAAATAGGCTTTTACTAGTTCCAGCCAATCAAGGACAACGTAAATGCCAGAAATTATAGATGGTCATCCAATACATCAAAGACCACCCAGTTGAAGAATACAATAGAAGTATATTCCATTTCAGTTATTCTGTCACTGTAGCCAAGAAGAGTATGAAAAGCTTTGGAGGGATGACTTAAAACAAAAGCAGCCTCATTGATTCATGGTTCTCAAGGCTTTGATTAGTAATTCTAGAAGCCAGAAGGTAACTAGAAGTCAATGAAGAAATCTTAGAATTTCCCCTAGCTAGAAAAGTCATAAAACAATGCAATCTACTTCACTGTAGCAAATTGCATCAGCAAATGACATGCAGTGCCTCACTAAGGCAAAGCATGGCTGCCCTTATAACTTAGTTGCTAAGATGCTCATGGCTTTATTGTTCCTGATATCTGGCATTCTACCAATCTAGTCAACTATCTCATGAATGCCATGCTTACCCAAGAACTTAATTCATGTATATTTCTGCACTCCAGGTGACCAAACTCAGATCAGGAAAAAAAAGGAAAATTGTCCTGAGCATAAAATGTGCCCCGCTTAGACTACCTCATCTGAAGGGCACAACCTCACTTCCTTCCCACAGGTTCAACTCTTTCATCCCTAAAGATTACTTTAACTGTTCTCTGTCCGTGAGTTTGCATTGCAAACAGATGTGTTTGTAAACATTTACAGCTAGCCACTTCCCAATATTTTTATTTTGCCACTTGCTATGAGACCAAGGGACTGTAGAACAATTATATATTGATTACTCACTCAGTTTTCTATATAATTTAAACTATTAGACAAAATGTTTTGATGGGGGCAAAAGCATCATGAGCTAATCCACAGCCAGTCTATGTATCATGTAAATTTAAGATGCTAACTTAGGGTATCTCTGGGTAGATGAAGACCCACATCAAGAAAAGAAGCCATTAGAAGATGTAGGTGGAAGGACAACAAGCATCAGAAAAATTAGGGGGGAAATCTGGTGTCATTGCCTGGAAATCAACCTGTGCTCAAATGCAGCCTCACCCTATGATCCTATCTCAAGATCAAGATCTACCAGGCACATTGTCATAGGGTTGCACTAATGCAAAAATATTAGTTACTAATCCACAACTGTCCTCCTCCGTGATGACTCTGAGTGACTTCAAAGTGCTTGGATTATCTCATAATAACAATGCATCATAATAACAGCGTCTCAAACACAAGAGATTTCAAAATCCCATTCAAAGCTGCTGGGCTTCTTCACTTGTCAATTAAACCACATCAAACACCATTTGAGCCATAAGCATTCCTTATCTGGGCCAGGATAAAATAATATTGCAAAACTGAATGATTTGCCATTTGCGTTCATCGGGACCTATCCAGTAATTCCTCTACTGTGTATTCTCCTATTGTTCTGGCAAGGCCTTTGCCTTGAAGTGATGTGATTACAAAATAAGGATTAATATTTAAAGATTGCAAAAGCTTAAAAACAAACCACATAAAAATAGCCGACGCAAGTGAGAAAAGTAATGATTTAAAACAGGGGTCCCCAACCACCGGGCCGCGGACTGGTACCGGTCCGTGGATCACTTTGCACCGGGCCGCAAAGAAAATAAAAATAAAAAATAAAATAAAAATGGCGGCTTTCTTCGCCTTTGGTGAATGCTGCTGGGATCAGGGATCAAGGACACAAATGAAAGAAGGGGAGGGAGGAAGCAACCAAAGCCTGTCCTACTCTCTGGCTCAGTGGCTTTGGTTTCCTCCCGCCTCGTTCCTCTCTCAGTCGCTCTCTCGCTCCTCCACCAGCCCAGGAAGAAACTGCTT